CTGGGGGTGCTTTCTCGCTCTAGCCCTGTCTCTCTCTGGCAAGCACGTGCACCCCCTGGCAACTGAAAAAAACAAAACAACAGCCCCGCAAATGGGTGGTACTGAGTGCCAAAGGCTGGCCACTCCTAAGGGTCCTGTCACAGCTCCCTGCGCGCTGTGCTCTGGGGACGCCGCGCACGTCTGTCAGTGAGGCCCCCCCTTGCTGTGCTGTCAGCGCCCAGGTAACCTGACGTTGGCTATGCAGGAATTATTTCCTCCACACAAACAGCTAACTACAGCCTCCTTTCCCTTCCTGGGTCAGTGACTAAGTAACTACCAGCTGGGGCTGGCAGATGGCATAGTGGCTAAGGTGCTGGACTCACACATGGCTGACTGCGGTTCAAGTCCCAGGCTGGGCGACTAGCTTTCTCACCTTCTCTCTCTGGTGAGCCCATGTGCCCTATAGCAAATTAAAATCATAAATACTGAGAGGTCAGAAAAGTCATGACGCATTTTTGCATAGAAAACCAGAAAAATATGATATCTTTTCTGATGACCCAATAAAATTAAATGAATTTTTTTTTTTTTAGAGGTTTTTGACTTAGGGCTTGAGCATTCGCTAGAGAGAGACAGAGACATCCCCCAAGGGATGGCCACACTGCAATCCGTTCTCCGTTCTCCTCCTGGGATCTTGGGCATCTGCTACACCATCTACTGGTCCCTAAATAAATAATTCTTTAAAAAACAAAACAAAAACAGTTCGCAGCATTTTACTAGCTTAGAAGACTGTCCTAACTCTGCGCGGCTCAGAGGCTCACATACAGACAGACCTCTCTCATTCCTATGCTAGCCCTAGAGACCCGAATTAACAGGACAAAGCAGAAAAAGCTGCCTAGCACTTATGAAAAGGACACTATCTTTTAGGGATCATTAGAAATGACTTCCTTTGGGGCCAGCAGGTGATGTAGTGATTAAGGCACTGGACTCCCACATTGCCTACCTTGGTTCGAGTCCTACATCTGATGGCTTGCTTCTCACTTTCCCTTTTTTCCCTCTCTCTGGTCAGATAAAATAATACTACTCAATACAATTTAATAGCGATTTCTTTAAAAAAGAAAGAAATAGCTTCTCTTTTGGACTTACACCTTTTTTCTAAGCAAGGAAGGATCTTTTGTAATAGAGAGCAAACTTGGTCTGAGAAATTTTGGAGTTCCCAGTGTTTTAGAAAAGGGCTCACGGTGGATTATTTTTGGCTTTCGCCTTTTGTGTCTGACATCAAACATTTCCTCTGGTGAACAGAGCCCTTGCCCTAAGGTAACATACATCAAGACTTAAGGGCAAACAGAGGCGGACCAGTTGCTCTGCCCGTCCTGGAAGAGATTAAGCAGGCGGAGTGGCTCCGCAGTACAAAGACCAGATTCACTAACATTTTGGAAGCCATTGGGTCATTTCAGGCATATGGAGTATTTCACTCAAGGTATTTAAAAGGATATTAAAATTGGACAGTGTAAAAAAAAATAAGGCATGCATGTAAAGGGCATTACACACAATTTGATTGTTTTTCTTTCATTTTATCTTGGAGTGCTGCAAACATTCTATGGTCGAAGGAAAATAACCAAGTCTGTAAACATAACAACTAATGTGGCGTGTTTCTAAGCAGAATATGAGTGACCTAGTCCCCAGAGAGGAAGCAAAACATGCCTTTCCCCAGGTGACCATGGACAGGGGTTCCTATTGTCCGCTTTTGAGAGCAAGAGACAGGGTTTGGAATTTAGCAAAGAGTTTTCCCTTGGTCTGGCCAAAAGAGGAGGGACACATGGAAGCTGGGGCTTGTAGGCTGTAGGTGGGTTTCGCAGCTTTTTGGGTAGTGAATGGAGAAGAAAGGTTGCTGAGATCAGAGAAAAATGTACTACAGCAGAGATGAGGAGGCTTAACACCACATCACAGAGACACTCCAGTTCTGTGCCAGGGGCAGGGTGCAGGGAGAATCCTGCTACCAATGGGTCAGAATGCACCGTTAATGTTTGTGGGTGTGACTCTCCAGGTCCCCTGGAAAGGATTATGGAAAATAGAAAAAAGCACTCCCTATAAATAGCTAAGATGAACTAGCTAAGATATATATACTATTTTTAAAAAGAATTATTTTATTAATTATTTTTAAAATTTGATCAGAGAGTGAGAGAGAAAAGTGAGAAAGCAAGCCACCAGGTCCGGGACTCGAACCATGGTTGTCCATGTGGGAGCCCAGTATCTTAACCACCATGCCACCTGCTGGCCCCAACTATTTTATATTTTTGCCATAGGGTATGTGTGGTCCCCAGAGAGAGACAGAGAGAGGGAAAGTGAGAACTCTCCTAGAGGGGGTGGTCATGTTGCAATCCCTTCTCCCCACATTCTCCTGTCAGGATTCTGGCACTCATGAACACACACGCATCCAGAGTGATTTTTCAAGTCACTGGGTTTGGGAGTCGAACTGCAGTCAGCCACGTGGGAATCCATCACCCTAACCACCATACCACCTGCTGGTCCTGGATATAAAGTTTTAAACTTATTTAGATAGTTGAAAAAAAGAAAAAAATCCTGGATTCTATATAGGTGTGATGTGTTCTACAAATGCAACTATCGATACATCATCTTATAAGGTGTATAAATCAGGACAAAGGGCCACACGCTTACCCTTTCCAGTAGACAGCGGTCAAAAACTCAAAAGCAGGCAGTCTTCATGCTGAGAAATTCCTCTACTTGACCTCAGATGTGAGGACCACCAACTGTTATGGTGGGGATAATGGTTTATCACCCAACGGTCCATGCTTTGTAATTTGGTCTAAGGGAGTGGTGATTGGATCCTGGCGATTCGGTCATGGCGGCTTCGGTCTCGTAAGTGGACCGATTCTGACTTGTGAGAGCTGCGTTCTAGCTCTCAGGTGTGGGCTCTTCTGGACTGTGTTGCCCAGTTCCCTCCTTCCGCGGGTGCGCACCAGCCTGCTCCTTCCAGCCACGTTGTTGGCAGACCTGTCAGCTCCATGCCGCTGGACTTCCCAGCCTCCAGAACTGTGTCTTCCCATATGGCCTCCAGGACTGTTATGAGCCACATGTGGCTGGGCTGACAGGAATTCCTGACAGGGCCTCACCAGGTCACAAGCCTTCTTACTCCAGCCTCTCAGTCTGCAAGGACCACAGGTGCGTGGGACCACACCTGGCCCGTTCGGGCTGAGCTGGGAACCAAAGCAGGCCCCCACGCGGTCTTACATATTGCACAGCGATGCCCTCACATTTGTGCCATAGGCTGGGCCCATTAGCACTTTTTTTTTTTTTTGAGAATTATTTTAACTTTATTTATTTATTTATTTATTTAAATTTGATCAGGGGAGGAAAGTGAGAGACAGAGAAGGAAAGTGAGAAAGCAAGCCTCCAGGTCCAGGACTGGAACTATGGTCAGCCACGTGGGAGTCCAAGCATTCTTAACCACCACTCCATCTGCCAGCCCTGCATTTTTTTTAAAGAGATTTTTAGTGTAGGGTGTGAGTGCTTGCCGGAGAGAAAGAGAAAGCGAGAAACCACCACCCAGGGGGAGAGGTCATGCTGCAATTTCTTCTCCATTCTCCTCTCAGGATTGTGGGCACGCACACACGCATGCACAGACACACGCACTTGGCCTGAGTTTTAAGCCACTGGGTCCGGAACACGTGTGTATGTGTATGACAGAGCTTTCAAACACATTCTTGGCACTTAGTATCTGAATAAAACTGAAAAACGTTATGAAGTCATGGCTTGCAGCTTGACCGAGGTGGCTGACTTCACTTATACCGACCTAGTCGGACGAGCGCTTTGGGAAGCTCGTTGCTGCGGTGGTTTGACTGTGTCCCCCGAAGTTCACGTGTAGACACTTCATCCCCAACGCCAGCGTGGAGAGGTGGTCGGGCCGTTACCGCGGGGGTGGTTTCTACCCCCTCTCATCTTCCCTCTTCGCCCACGACGTGATGCAGCGGGAAGGCCCTCGCCACATGCGGGGCCCCTGCCCTTGGCCTTCCTGGTTTTCAGAACTCTAAGAACAAACCTGTCCTTGATAAGCGAGTCACCTGTGGTACCGTTACAGCGACACGAGGGGACGAAGACGGCTGCCATCCTGCTTTTGATTGACCACAAAGGACAATTTCTTACTTTATTAAAATTAATAAAATGATGAACACAAGGTGAGTGAGAATTCAGAGAACTAGCTGGCTAATATTGCAAACGCACATGTGCACAAGCTCGTGGGTTCTTCACGGCCGCCGAAGTTTTAGTCTATGTAGTCGAAGTCTTCTGGAATGCCAAAATTTTTATCAATTTTATTTTCTTCAAGCCCGAATTTTCTTTTGGCCCAAGATTTTATGGAAAATATGTTATCTATAAAGAAAATTGAGAAATATTTTTACAGATTTGACCACACAATCATAAAACATTTCTGAGCCCCATGTGGCTGGGCTGACAGGAATTCCTGACAGGGCCTCACCAGGTCACAAGCCTTCTTACTCCAGCCTCTCAGTCTGCAAGGACCACAGGTGCGTGGGACCACACCTGGCCCGTTCGGGCTGAGCTGGGAACCAAAGCAGGCCCCCACGCGGTCTTACATATTGCACAGCGATGCCCTCACACTTGTGCCATAGGCTGGGCCCATTAGCACTTTTTTTTTTTTTTGAGAATTATTTTAACTTTATTTATTTATTTATTTATTTAAATTTGATCAGGGGAGGAGAGTGAGAGACAGAGAAGGAAAGTGAGAAAGCAAGCCTCCAGGTCCAGGACTGGAACTATGGTCAGCCACGTGGGAGTCCAAGCATTCTTAACCACCACTCCATCTGCCAGCCCTGCATTTTTTTAAAAGAGATTTTTAGTGTAGGGTGTGAGTGCTTGCCGGAGAGAAAGAGAAAGCGAGAAACCACCACCCAGGGGGAGAGGTCATGCTGCAATTTCTTCTCCATTCTCCTCTCAGGATTGTGGGCACGCACACACGCATGCACAGACACACGCACTTGGCCTGAGTTTTAAGCCACTGGGTCCGGAACACGTGTGTATGTGTATGACAGAGCTTTCAAACACATTCTTGGCACTTAGTATCTGAATAAAACTGAAAAACGTTATGAAGTCATGGCTTGCAGCTTGACCGAGGTGGCTGACTTCACTTATACCGACCTAGTCGGACGAGCGCTTTGGGAAGCTCGTTGCTGCGGTGGTTTGACTGTGTCCCCCGAAGTTCACGGGTGGACACTTCATCCCCAACGCCAGCGTGGAGAGGTGGTCGGGCCGTTACCGCGGGGGTGGTTTCTACCCCCTCTCATCTTCCCTCTTCGCCCACGACGTGATGCAGCGGGAAGGCCCTCGCCACATGCGGGGCCCCTGCCCTTGGCCTTCCTGGTTTTCAGAACTCTAAGAACAAACCTGTCCTTGATAAGCGAGTCACCTGTGGTACCGTTACAGCGACACGAGGGGACGAAGACGGCTGCCATCCTGCTTTTGATTGACCACAAAGGACAATTTCTTACTTTATTAAAATTAATAAAATGATGAACACAAGGTGAGTGAGAATTCAGAGAACTAGCTGGCTAATATTGCAAACGCACATGTGCACAAGCTCGTGGGTTCTTCACGGCCGCCGAAGTTTTAGTCTATGTAGTCGAAGTCTTCTGGAATGCCAAAATTTTTATCAATTTTATTTTCTTCAAGCCCGAATTTTCTTTTGGCCCAAGATTTTATGGAAAATATGTTATCTATAAAGAAAATTGAGAAATATTTTTACAGATTTGACCACACAATCATAAAACATTTCAAAGATAATGAGTTATCCTCATTATTCTTTTATTTCTATTACTTTTGAAGGTATCCGAGTCAGTTTTCTGTATTTTCAAGATAATTATAAAAAGGTTGAAGACAGCTACTTTCAGCAGGCACACAGAGCTCAGCGGAGCTCACTGCTGCTAGAGAACCCCGGCCTGGAGTGAGAGACAGCTCTGAGCGGGTCCTTTCCGCGTCTCTGCAGCAGAGGCCAGGGCTCCGAGCTGCCGCCACCGGGGGACGTTCGCCCTGACGGTTCTCCCCTCCAGAGTAACGGCTTCCAGACACTCCGCCAGTGTGAGGGGGTGAGGAGGAACGGGGACGCCTTTCTCAGGACAGATAGGAACGGCTGTGACTTCGGCAGCCCCTGGGAGTTCGTAAAATGCATTTGCACAAGCGTTTACCGACTTCAAGGCAATCCGATGGACTGTGTACAGAGATCTTTGTCCAAGGATCTCCATCTTGGTGCAGTGGGAGAACAGAAAGTCTGGGGTGGCCTGCAGCCAGTGGTTAAGGGAACCGGAAGCCACAAGGCTGACTGTGGTTTCAATCCCAGCCCCGATGGCTTGGAAAAATCACCAGGTTCGCGTGTGTGGGTGCCCCAAATCCTGACTGGATGGAGAAACGGAGGGAAGGGACTGCAGCATGGCCGTGCCCACTAGGGGGTGCTTTCTCCCACCGTGAGCATGTGCACCCTCTGACGGGGAGGGGGAGGAAGAAAAGAAGAAAGGAAAGGACACCTGGGACGTCTTTGGGAGGGTGACTGCACACACAGGCCAGGCCGGTGTGCGATGGTGGCTGCACGGGGGAGGGGCACAACAGCGGGCTTCCCCTTTCCTTTTCAGTTTGTCACAGGGCAAGTGCACTCAGTGTAAAGCAAGAAAGCGCTCCCCGACGAAGCATGGCCACACGTCCCTTCTCCTCTGCCTCTCCCTGTTCAGGATTTTGGGCACACGCACAACTGCTGGCCCAGGACCTGAACCCTGTGGCCAGCTGTGTGGAATCCAGCTCATGTAACTGCCAGGCCATAGGATGGCCCTTCGTTTTTAAGAGAGATTTTTGCCATAGGGTGTGTGTGCTCACCAGAGAGACAGAGACAGAAAACGAGAAATCATTACCGGGGGGATGGCCACGCCGCAATCCCTTCTTCTGCATTCTGCTCTCGGGATCTTGGGCACGTGTGCACATGAGCCCAGTATGAATGTTTTTAAGCCATCAGGTCTGGGACTCGATTGGTGGTTGACTGTGTGGGAGTCTGGCAACGTAACCACTGCGCCATCTGCTGGTCCCTGGCCAGCTGTCTTTTTCTTTAAAAAAAATTATTTTTTAAAGGGTTATTTAACTTATTTAAAATTTATTTACTTAAATTTGACCAGAGTGGGACCAGCAGTTGGCATAATGGCTATGTTGCTGGACTCCCATGTAGCTGAGCGTGGTTTGAGTTCTGGACCTGGTGGCTTAAACTCACGCCGGGCGCGTGTATGTGTGTGCCCAACATCCCGAGAGGAGAATGGAGGAGAAGGGATTGTGGCGTGGCCATCCCCCCTGGGGGGTGATTTCTCGCTTTCTGTTTCTCTGTCTCTCTCAGTCTTTCTGGCGAGCACACGAGCACTATAGCAAAAACCTTTCTCAAAAAAATATTGTGTGCATGGTAGTTTAATTGTAAGTATAAAATAATGATAAATACATTTCTGGAATGAAGTTTATTTCAAAATATTTTTATTTTAAATTTTTAAAAATTTGGGACCAACAGATGGCTTGGTGATAAAGGTCTCCCACATGGCCAACCACAGTTCAAGTCCCAGACCCAGAAGCTAGAAAATCACAGGGCGCATGTGCATGGATGCTCAAAATTCTGAGATGAGAATGGAATAGAAGAGACTGGCATGGCCGTCCCCCTGGGGGCTGATTTCTCACTACCACCCCCAACCCAGTCTGGATGAGCGTACACGCCGTATGGCAAAAACCTAAAAAAATTTAAATAAATAAAAATTAGGGGACAAGCAGGTGGCATGGTGGTTAAGGCGCTGGACACTCCCACATGGCCGACCAGGATTCGAGTCCTGAATCTGGTGGCTTGCTTTCTCACTTCCCCCTGCTCACCCTTGGCAAAAAAAAAAAAAAAAAAAAAAAAAAAAAGAAAAAAAAGAATGAATAAATAAAATAAAATAAATAATTATTTAAAAATGAATAAATAAATAAAAATTAAAATTTGGGGTAATTTTGGCAAAAATGCTTGCCGGAGAGAGAGGGAGGGCCAGCCGAGGCACTATCAGTTCATGCACCGTTCGCTCACACTCCACGGGCCCCGCACTCTGCTGCTCACCTCAGTGCTCGTCTGCCGCCTAGAGCACCGCGTCACCTAGGGAATGGCTTTGGCACAGGCAGGACACAGACTCAGCGGCCTACCTACCTCTAGACTAAGCTAGGAAAAACCTGCTTGTACTCTTTGTAAAACAGAGGTCTGGACAGGAGTCAGGGAGGCCAGCTTGAGCCCGGTCCTCTAGGGGCTCATCAGCTGGGAGCACACGGGCTCACTGAGCTCCGTACACCTCGGCGTCCTGCAGCCTCACCCACGGCCTTGAGCCCGGCCCGCCAGGGGCTCATCAGCTGGGAGCACACGGGCTCGCCAAGCTCCGTACACCTCGGCGTCCTGTAGTCTCACACATGTCCCCCCAGACACAGCACGAGGTGAGCAGTCCCTAACAGATGCTCAAAGGAGGGAAAAATTCGATCACCATCATTTTATAATTTAATATTGAAAACACGGGGCCAGCAGGTGGCATAGTGGTTAAGGCGCTGGATCACACATGGCTTACTGTATGGTTCAAGTCCTTGACCCAGAGACTTGAAAAACATGTCAGGCGCGTGCATGCCATGACAGAGAAGGGATTGTAGAGTGGCCATTCCCCAAGGGGTGATTTCTCACCTTCTCTCTGTCTCTCTTTCTCTGTCCAGTGAGGGCATGTGCCCTGCAGCAAAAAGACTGAAAACTAACTGAAAAAATACTGAACACATCACTGTAACTCTGATAGGTTTTAACAATACTAGTCACACATATAATTCCCAGGAATCGCCATTTATCAATATTAACTTTCTTCTAAACCTTTATACGCACAGATAATGCCTGCCCCACCTCCTGCTTTGTTAGAGAAAAGGAGAGACAGAGAACGCAAGGCAGAGACAGAGACAGAGAACGCAATGCAGAGAGACAGAGGCAGAGACAGAGGCAGAGAGACAGAGGCAGGCATTTCTTTTTTCTTTTTTGGAGAGGTTTTGCTATAGGGCGCATGCACTTGCCAGAAAGACAGAGGGAGACAGAGAAAGAAAGCGAGAAATCACCCCCCCCAATCCCGTCTCCTCCATTCTCCTCTCAGGATCTTAGGCACGCATGCACACATGCCTGGTGTGAGTTTAAGCCACTGGGTCTGGGACTTGAACCACAGTCAACTACATGGGAATCCCGCGGCATAGCCATTACGTCAACTGCTGGTCCTGAGACAGGCATTTCTGACATGGCTTGCTGTCCCAGCCTCCCAGCTAGTCAGGAGCACACAAACAGCATCTAGAGTGTTCAGATCGGCCCAGGGAACTGAACCTGCAGTTTCCAGCCTCCCAAGAGGTGGTGCTCTCCACACTGCTGTGGCAGGTAAGTGACACCTCGTGCATTCTCACGTCTCAGAATATCCCTGGTGGAGACCAGAGTGTGTCCACTGGCAAATGCATTACAAAGGCACTTTACATGGAAAGGCCTTGCAAAAACAAAACAGAACAACACAGCAACAAGACAGCCTTGCAGGGAGGGTGGTGCGGTGGTAGGTGGGGCGCACACCCTGGGGGCAGAGAAGGACCCAGGGCAGCACGTGCCCTTGGCCCCAGGGCTGTAGTTTCCTACTTAACACCAGGCACGGTGATCACAGCTACTGGTGAGACTGCCGTGGAGACGAGGTGGGCCTGCGGCGACCGGCATCACAAGCGGCAGGCAGGCAGCTACCGCTGTGCTGTTGGCAGGAAGACACGTCTCCCCTGCCACTCTCCAAGGGGCACTTTACATCCTCAGAGTAAGCTTTTTAAAAAAAGAATTATTTTATTTAACATTATTTATTTATTTAAATTTGACCAGAGAGACAGAGAGAGAGAGGAAAGTGAGAAAGCAAGCCGCCAGGTCCAGGACCTGAACTGTGGTCAGCCATGTGGGAGTCCAGCACCCCTAACCACCACACCGCCTGCTGGCCCCAGTAAGTATTTTTAAAAAAGAATTTATCTATCTACCTACCTATATATTTATTAATCTGTTTATTTCCTTATCGATCTATTTATTTATTTAACTTGATTTGACCAGAGAGGGACAGAATGAGACAGAAAGAAAGGAAAAATGAGAAAGCAAGCTGCCAAGTCCGGGACTTGAACCGGGTCGGCCATGTGGGAGTCCAGCATCCTTTAACTACCACGCCAGTGGCCCCCATAATAGGTTTTAAAAAAATAATCGTAACTAACTGAGATGATTTAATTTATAAAAACTTGAGTAATGCATACATTCCCAGAAATAATAAGTGTAGAAGTTTTTTTTTGAGGTTTTTTGGCATAGGGTGTACACACTCGCCAAAGAGAGAGACGGTGAGAGGGAAAGTGAGAAATCACCCCCCAGGGGGAATGGCCACACAATAATCCCTTTCAATTCCTTCTCCTGAAATTTTGTGCCCAGCATGATTTTCCAGCTGCTCGGTTTGGGACTTGAACCGCAGTCAGCCATGTGGGAGTCCAACGCCTTAACCACAGCACCTGAATGCCCCATGCAGCAGTTGAGCGATAGTTTACCGGCGTTATGATACGTACCAGTCCATCTGTTAGCAGCTTCTTTGGCTACTTTATTTGCTTGACCTGAAAAATAATTATAAATAAAAAATTATATATATCTACATAAATGTATACATTATATATGTGCCTTTCACATGAATACAATTTTTATAAATTCCATATAGTTTATAAAATTTAGATACGTAAAACGGCTCTGGAGAAAACCCTCCAAATGGTGAGATCACAGCGTATCTCACCGCACGCCCGAATCCCGGGGAGACCGCAGAGCGCGGCAGACCTGAGCCCGGGAGAGAACGCCGCGCCACTGAACTCGCTCCTTTGACGACGGTAAGTTTAAACGACCTGTTTCTCACACACCTTGCCACACCAAAACATGATAGAATAAATGTAGAAGCGAGAATTTCACTGTGTGTGTGTGTGTGTACATAATCAGGCCACAACAAACCAGACCTTAAAGAATTCCGTGGTGGGCCAGCAGGTGGCATGGCGGTTAAAGGCACTGGCCTCTCCCACATGACCAACCGCGGTTCAAGTCCTGGACCTGACGGCTTGCTTCCTCATTTTCCCTCTCATTTTCTCTATCTATAGGTACATGAGTACCTATAGCAAATTAAAATAAATAAGTAAATGAATGAATGAATGAATGAATAAATAAATAAAATCATTCTTAAAAGAGAAACAGTGGTGAGCAAGTAGCCCCATGAAAGAAAATACTTTGGGGCCAGCAGATGGTGTAGCAGTTAAGCTGCTGGACTTCCACATGGCCAACTGTGGTTCAAGTCTGGGACCCGGGGGCTTAAAGCTCACGGCACATGTGCATGGCCAAGATCCCAGGAGAATGGAGAAGGCACTGTGGCACAGCCATCCCCCCTCGGGGTGATTTCTCACTTTCCCTCTCACTGTCTCTGTCTCTCTGGTGAGCGCATGTGCCCTAATAGCAAAAATCTCTCTCTCTTAAAAAAGAGGAAATATCTTTATATTTAAATGTACATCTTATTATGAAATATATCCATATGAGAGCCGGCAGGTGGCATGGGAGTTGGGGCACTGGATTCCCACATGGCCAACTGCAGTTTGAGTCCTGGACCTGGCAGCTTCTTTCTCGCTTTCCCTTTCTCTCTCTGACTCTGTCTGGTCAAATTAAAAACAACAACAACAAATGGAATTAAATAAATAATTCTTTAAAAAAGCATCTGTATGTGTATTATGTCCTTATGTCCTTCAAGTTAATCAACACCTAATTATATTTTTTGCTAAACCCCACCATTTGTGTATTCATTCATCAGCTGTTGGGCATTGGGACTGTACCCACTGATGAATAATTCGGTAACGTCTATGTGAGCATGTTCTCAGCTCTCCTGGGTATAAATCGATGGGACTGTACCACTGATGAATAATTCGGTAACGTCTGTGTGAGCGTGCTCTCAGCCCTCCTGGGCATACATGGAGGAGTGGAATTGCCGGCTCAGATGGAAACTCGATGTGCACCTTGGGGAACAGGTGAGTTGTTTCCCAGGGGCTGGGCTGTTTTACAATGCCCCCAGCAACCTGAGAGTTGTCTCCACAATCTCATTAATACTTATTTTCTCGTTTTAAAAATTACTGCCAGGCCAGCCAGTGGTGTGGTTAAGGTTGCTGGGTCGCACAAGGCTGACTGCACAGTTCAAGTCCTAGACTCGGCAGCCTGAGAAACAAGCCAGATGAAGTGTGCACGCGTGTTCAAAATCCCAAAGGGAGAAATGAAGGGTTGGGGGTGACCATCTTCCACTGAGGGAGTAAGAGTGCCTCCCGTCTGCTCCCTCTAGCAAGCCCGCGCACCCTCGGGCAAGACTCATAAACATCGCTGCTACCCTGATGGGCATATCTCAGGCTTTGTGTTTTCCTGATGACCAGTGACATTGGGCACCTTTTTATGTGCTTATTGGGCATCTGTGTATTTTTCTTGGACAAACGTTTATTCAAATTCTTCGTACATTTTTAAACTGGACTATGTACTGTTGGTGAATTACCAGAGCTCACTATACTACTTTAGATAAGACGCTTGTCAGATTTAAGATGTGTAAACACCTTTTCCCATGTGCGTTATCGGTTCACTTTATTTGGGGCACACATGCACATGCCCCAGGAGTGTTTTTCAAACTGCCAGGGCTGGGATTTGAATCATGTGGCTGGCCATGTGGGGCTGGCTTCCTGAAGCAGCAGGCCGGAGGGCCGCCCCTCTTCACACCGTCTTGATAGCGTCCAACAGCTTTCAGTTTTGATGAAGTCCGATTTACCTGCCTGCTCCCTGCCTGCTTATGCTTTTGGGGTCAGAGCCAAGAGACATGCCTAATCCGAGGCCAAGCATACGCCTCTGTCTCCATCTCATTCTTATAACCTTAGCTTTGACATTTAGCTTTTTATTTTATTTTTTTATTTTTTGACACTTAGGTCTTTGCTCTATTAATATTTAATTTTTGGTTTATGGTCTTTTTTTTTTTTTTTTGAGAGTTTTTTGCTATAGGGCGAGTGCGCTTGCAAGAGAGACAGAGAGACAGAAAGCCAGACGTCATCCCCCAAGGGGGATGGCCATGCCGCAATCCCTTTTCCTCCATTCTCCTCTTGGGATCTTGGGCACGCACGCACATGCGCCCAGCGTGAGTTTTAAGTCACCAGGTCCAGGACTCAAACCACAGTCGACTATGTGGGAGTCCAGTGACACAGCCATTACGCTAGCTGCTGGTCCCTGTTTATGGTCTTAAGTAGGGGTCCAGATAAGTTCATTTGCATGTGGACATCCATTTGTGCCCTACGCCATTAGCTGAAAACTCGTTCCTGATTGGTTAAGTGTTGGCATCCTTGCTGAAATCCAGTTAGGTTTTACTTCTGGACTCTGTTTCACTCCATTATGTCTCCGCATGTCTACCCTTACACCAGTACCACTGCCTCAACTGCTGGTCCCCCGTATTAACTTTTGAACTTGGGTAATCTGTGTCTTCCAACTTTGTTCCTCTTTTTGAAGATTTTCCTGGCCATTTTGGGCCTCTTATATTTCCATATGAATTTTAGGATCAGCTTGTCAGTTTCTGCAAAAAAGCAATAGGAACTCTGATACATCTTCCATAGAATCTGTAGATCAATTTGGGAAGTATTTCCATCTTAAGTTTTTCACCCCATGAACATGGGATATCTGTCCTGTATTTATGTCGTCAATTTCTCTTAATGTTTCATAATTTTCAACACAAGTCTTATACTTCTTGGATTATTCTTATATTTAGGTATTTTATTCATTTTGATGCCACTATGGGGAAAAATGGAATCTTTTTTTCTGCTTAATTTTATTTTCAGATTGTTCATTGTTAGCATACAGAAATATAATTACTTTTTTAAGAAGTTTTTACTATAGGGCGCATGCACTTGCCAGAAAGCCAGAGAGAGACAGAGAGACAGAAAGCGAGAAATCACCCCCGGGGGGGAGGCCACACCACAATCCCTTCTCCTCCATTCTCCTCTCAGGGTCTTGGGCACACACACACACACAAATGCTCGGTGTGAGTTTAAGCCACCGAGTCTGGGACTAGAACTGCGGTCTACTACGTGGGAGTCCAGCGACATAGCCATTATGCTAACTGCTGGTCCCTACAAGTAATTTTTTTAATACTCATTTTATAGTCTGCATCTTCGCTGACCTCATTTATTAGCTTTAATAATCCATCATCTTTCTTGGTGAACTGTTTAGGGCTTTCTATATATGCATACAATCATGCCATCTGTCAAGTAGAGACAGTGTTACTTCCTCTTTATCAAAAAATAAGCTTTTTATTTCTTGTCTAACTACGCTGGCTAGAATTTCCAATTTCTAGTACAATGTTGGATAGAAGTGCTAAGTGTAGACATCCTTGGGGAAGCCTTCAGTCTTTAACCACTCAATACGATGTAAGCAGGGGATGTTTTGTAGATGCCCTTTTATCAGACTGAGGAAGTTTACTTCAATTCCAAGTCTGTTGCATGTTTTTCTTTTAATTATTTAATTTTATTTATTCATTCATTTATTTTAATTTGGCCAGAGAAAGACAGAGAGCGAGAGAGAGGGAAAGTGAGAAAGCAAGCCACCAGGTCTGGGACTCAAACTGTGGGTGGCCATGTGGGAGTGTCCAGCACCTTGACTACCACGCCACCTGCTGGTACCCATGTTGCATGTTTTTAATCATGAAAAGGTATTGAGTTTTATCAAAGATTTTTCTCCACCTACTGAGAGAATCACGTGGTTTCCTCCGCTCAGCTTTGTCATATGAATATGCTGTACTACATTGATTTTTTGTATGTTGAACCAATCTGGCATTCCTGGATAAATCTTATGTCATCAGAGTATATAATCTTTTTCTTTTTAAGTTTTTGCTATAGGGTGTGTACACTTGCCAAAGAAAGAGAGAGACACAGAGAGAGAGTGAGTGAGAAATCTCCCCAGGTGGGATGGCCATGCTGCAATCCCTTCTCTACCAGTCTCTTTTTAGGATTTTGGGAATGCACGCACACACATCTGGCATGTTTTTCAAGACACTGGGTCTGGGACTTGAACCACAAAGCAGGCCATGTGAGAATCAGCATCTTAACCACCTCGCCACAGGGTTGCCCAGGGTTCACCCTTTTATCATTCTAATTATAACATATACTAAGGCTCAAGTAATAACTTAAAAAGTCTTGAAGTCTATGTTGTCTGTGTTAGCGTAGCCACTCCAGCTCCCCTTCGGTTACTTTACAGGGTATGCATTTTTTCTGGTCTTTTACTTTCTATATATTTGTTTCTCTGAATCTAATATGAGTCTCTTAAAGATATAGTTAGTTTACATATTTTCTCCTATTTTGTCAATCTCTGCCTTTTAACTGGAGAGTTTAATTCATTTTCATTTAGTGTAAATACTGGTAAGACATGATGTATATCTACCATTTTGTATTTGTTTTCTGTATGTCTTAGGTCTTTTTGGTCCCTCAATTCTTTCACAACTGCCTTCTTTTGTATTAATTGGAACTTTTTTTAGTGTATTATTAATTTCCCTGCTATTTCTTCTACCAAATATTTTGGG